TCATAACGAAGGCTATAAAATATGTAGGTATAACTTAGAAACTTAATCCTATGTGTACTTATCTGTATTCATAACCCAATATCTAAGGTAGGTTATTACTTTATTCTTTATTCTTTATTGTACACACAATAAGTTGGTAACAATTATTAAATATTTAAATAAATGTACAAAGGCGAGCTTAACCCTAATAAGAGTTCTCTTCCAGCAAACCTATTGGGAAAGAGAAATAGTTTTATATATAAAGCAAGTAGGTAGCAGCGTGCGTACTCAATAATTAACATAACGCTACTTAATAGAAATTGGCTATAAGTTACAGTTAACAATTAACATATAAGTGTATAACATATAAGTATAATTTATTTTCTTATTCCTTTTATTCTTATTTCTATTAATTTACATACATATATACCAATAAAGATAATAAATATAAACATATATACACATATACACATATACACACACATATATATACATATATATATACATATATATACATACACACATACATATATATACAATTATACATATAAATACATAAAATATGTAAATATTTATAATTCTAAGTTGACAGATAATATTTCTTTACTCTGCTCCGAAATATATCAAGAGAAGAGCTAGCACGTATGTCATGTGGAAGTGAGTTCCATAGCTTGACCGCCCTTACAGTAAAGGATCCACCACAACGGCTTGTGAAATGAAAAGGAGTTTTGAGAAGTAGTTGTTTAGTGGTCCGGCACTGAGTTTCACGAGGTACAAGATACTCAAAACGCTCGCGGAGATATGGAGGTGCAAGAGGATTAAAGAGTAGAAAGTATAGAAATGATAACACATGTAAGTCTCGACGTTTACGGATAGGAAGCCATTTTAATTGAGCCCTGTACTCTGAAACATGATCAAACTTACGAAGACCGAAAATAAAACGTATACACAAATTTTGAACTCGTTCCAGTTTGTTCAACAGCTCCTCTGAAGCATCCAAAAAACTAACATCAGCGTAGTCAATGGGAGGAAGAAGAAGTGCTTGAGCTAAGGTTATCTTAGTTTTTAACGGTAAAAACATCTGGAGACGCTTGAGAGATTGAAAAGAGTAGTTCACTTTTCTGCTAATCATATTAATGTGAGCGACCCAAGACAAATTATTATCAAAAATAACACCTAAGTTCTTAGCGGTCTCTGTATATGGAATTTGAGTATTATCATACGTTACTGCAGGGATCTTCGAACGATCTAATAAATTAAGCATATATGAGCTGCCGATAATCATTACTTGGGATTTAGCAGGGTTAACAAGAAGACCAAACGATTTTGCCCAACTGCTTATGCTACTTAAGTCAGCATTCAGCTTATTAATAGCCTCATCTATATCTTGGACTTTGAAATGACGGTATAATTGCAAGTCATCAGCATAGAGATGATAATGAGAGGAGAGAACAGTAGTGAGAGCATTGATAAAAATAGAGAAGAGAAGTGGGGAAAGAACACCACCCTGAGGAACACCCGCCGTAAGATCACACCACTCGGAGAAATCCTCCTCATGGCGGACACACTGCGAGCGACCCCTAAGGTAAGAATTAAACCAAGAGATTACTGATGGTGAAATGTTTAAGGACGCAAGAATACCAAGAATTTTATTTTTATATTTATTATTATTCTGTAATAAATTAAACCTAATCCAAAATATACTATAATAACATAGCAAAGCTACTACTATTTTATTTAGTAGTAGCTTATATAGTAGTACAGTAAATTATATATAAAAATATGAATATGTCTGAGGTAAGGTTAAATATAAACAAATATTTTGCCAAGTGCGAATCGGACTTCCGAGCTTACGAGATTATAAGATACCTATACATATTACTATCGATCAAAAAAGCCAAAAATACACGTTTCTTTTTCTAGTAGAAAATCCTTTAATTTCAAATTTATTTTTACCACTTCTTACACGTACCACGAAATACACGTTCTGTGAAAATTACAACCATCTACCTATTACGGATCATGAGAAGCAGCCCGCTGACAGACAGACACACGGACAGCGGAGGCTCCGTAATAGGACCCTGCTGGTTACCCTTCCGGTACGGAATCCTAAAAAGTACTAAGTTGTCCACTCACATCTGTATGATTCTTTCTTCAAAGGACCATATTAGCCTGGTTATCGTATGACATGACCAATGTAATACCTGGACTGACCTCTCTGAGTTTGTTTCGGCAGATCGGGTGCTTCTTCTCAGTTTCATGTTTTTGTTGTGTTAAAGTGTTTAAAAAAAACAACTTACAAAACACATTTTATTTATCATTGACTGCCCTTCTTAGATTATTATGTACTTACATAAATTACATTAGGTATATTAGGACATGAGATTCCTATACGTAAGCACGATTATCGGAAATCTAAAAATTACCTATTCCAATTAAAGTAATAGATAATTTTAAGATTTTCGATAATCGTGCTTATCTATGAGATGTTTTCGTTAGTTAGCAAATTAAAGTAGTTAAGTACCTAATGTACTACCTGTATCGAAAGTTCATTATTATGTACCTACCTGTTTTCAATTTTAACTAAATGTGCTTCAACGAACTTATGGGCACATTTTAGCAGCTATATTCATCCCGGCTTCAGCAATGGACACGAACAAAAGGAAGCAATTTATCTAAATAAATATGTAGATATGTAGGTATTACAACCATAAATAGATAGCAGCGGCTAACCTAGTGAGTATGTGTGAGTGCGCGCTGCGTCCCCCCTCCGTCCGTCTCACTGATCGGGGAAACAATTTGTAGCGAAAGGCAAGATGTTTTATAACAAAAACGGGCGCGCAAAATTTTATAAACAGACCTTTGGTAGTCTAGATGTCACGAAAAATCTATTGAATGTATCTGTTTAAAATAAAATTATTTGCATTTTTGAACAACTAATCTATCCCTGTATGGTAACTGTTTTGCAATTTTCGTTCTTCTTGTGGTAGGTACCTATTTACTTCCGCCCAAAGATGTCTTAAAAATAGTGTTGAAATTCGGAATTTTCGACGCTTATAACTTTTAAACATACTCTTTTTTTACTTTTTTGTTTACATACAGGGCTAGATAATGACGAGATAAATTGAAATCATTTTTTATTTTGAACGTACACCATCAAACAGTGGAGTAATCGACGGACTACGTTTGTATGGAAGAATAAGCGAGTTGTGTACCCTTAAGGAGTATGTTAGGACTCGATCTGAATGACAGGGTGAGAAATTGTGTAATAAGAGAAAAGTATGGTTTCCAAGATGTTGTGACCAGGATTAAGAAAAGAATGCCTCTGTGGTTCGGACTCGTAGAAAGAATAAACGATGGCAATTAAGTTTATGTTGCAGAACTAGTGACAGAGTTGGTAAGGGACGCCCTATACCAGGGGTAGCGAACCTTTATGTATCAACGTGCCATTTTTTTAAAGAAATGTTTAATTAGGTAATAGACGTGCCGTAAAATAATTTTGATTTCGTGATTATTTATAAAATAATAGTACTAAATACTATCGACTCAAACTCTTTATTAACTACAAAAAATAAATAAGGAGTTTTAGGTTGTGACATTTATTTTTGTACATTGCAAAATACAATTTGCAATGTGTAATAATAAAAATTTTTAGTTTTTATTATTACACATTGCAAATTTTTAGTTATACGCGTAATTCAAATTAAAGTAACATTAGTGTGACTTCTGTTGTTGCAGATTAGATGACAAATAACCTATATTGGGTTTGTAGAATCCTAAATATAACAAACATGAATTTTCAAATATGAAAATACGAAATTGACTTTTATGCAATACATAAACAAACTATACATTCCTTGAGGAGACGTGGACTTGTGAAGGGCTGTAATGATGAAGATGATGATGATGAAACGAACTATGCTTCATTAGCAATGGTAGCCTATGATGTAACTAGGATCATTCGTGTACGTTCATAATATAATACTACATAGTGAACTTTATGATCAGTGGCGTGCCCAAAATATTGTGTCGCGTGCCATCGATGGCAAGCGTGCCTTACTACCTTATACCTTTTGCGTCACCCAGAGGGGTAACGCAGAAGGTATAAGGTAGTAAGGTGATGGGGTAAGCAGAGACTACGGACGTCAGTGATAACGAATGAAAATAAAATCTGTGGTTGCCAACCAGCTTGCCAAGCGTGGCAACTATGGAAAATATAAAGGAGTTAGTGCACACGCCACGAAGTGTAGACGTGATAAGTTATTCTCTCGGAAAAAATAATAATATTTTGTGTAAATTTTACGGATTTTGTGTAAAAACAAGAGTTTAAAGCTTAAACTATAAACCAGTGTTTATAATAGTAAACCAGTGATCAATAAATTAGGACAATAACTTTAAAATTACAAAATAATGTTTAGTGCAGTGCTTATTGTTGATCTGATTGCATCAATGTACCCTACAATCTAAAATAAATGCCCAAACGTCAACTATAAAGCAGTCAATAATTTAACCGGCTACTGATAAGAACAATTGGTCTAGTGGCGAGACGATTTAAATACAGTGTAAACGATCGTGCCTTCGAGCCCAACGATACGCTTGCTTTTTGTGACCAAATAAAATTAAATAGTTATTGGTTGTTAAAATTTAGAATTTAAAATTTATAATGTCTAAGAACAAACAAAAAAGACATAGAAAAGTTGAAAATATATTACCTACATGCGCAGCATGTCTCGAAGGATTTGCCTTGGGAGATGAAATAACTTGCCGTCAATGTTCGGATGATTATCATTATTTGTATTTGCGAATAACTAAAGACGTATATCAGAGTTATTCAACGTCTCATAAAAGGGATTGGATCTGTTCTACTTGCAGTAAGGTAAAAAAGGGGGGATAATGCGAACACACTGGTGAGAGCAACTACAATAGAAAACACTATATTTAGTGACAATACAGTTACACCGGCCTGTTCCTGGATATCACAAAGAGCTTTGCGCAAAAACTCAGATCAATTGTCTATTGATATGGTACAAGAACCTGATCATATATGTTTGACGAAAAATCATATTAGGGAGATTATTCGAAGTGAACTCTATAATATCTTTAGAAGTGAAATTAATGGCATGATAAAAAATACTATCAGCTCTGAAATACGCTATGTCGAGTCTGAGGTAGTAACTCTTAAAAAAGAGCTTATTTCCAAGAAGGAATCAATGGAGTTCATCAACCAACAATACGAAAAAGTAAAAATAGATTCTATAAAAAATAATAGAGAAAATACACGACTCCTGAAGGAGGCAGCTGAAATGAAAACGCTTAATATAGAACTCAAAAATCGTCTAGAATAATTGGAACAACACGCACGCGCTGCTAATATCGAGACCTGCGTACCTGAGCACTAATCTAAGAACCTTATCTCGACAGTAATGTAATTAGCAAAAACTGTATCCTTTGATCTTATGTTTTCTACATTTTCAGATATTTACCTCGAGGATAGTGGCAATCCGTTGGTCAGAGTTGATTTATATCAGCCTCCATTGGAGTTCACTGTTTCACTATCCTCGTATCAAAATTGACACCCACGCCGCATCCCACGGTTTAACTACTTTAAGGCAGATTACAGTTCTATAATCGATGATCTGCAAATAATTGATCGGTTATCGTTACTTCTGCACCTTGATAATGTCAATGAAATGTTTAATGTTTTTTACGCAACATTACGCAAAATTATTACAGCTCATGTTCCTCTGACTAAACCTAAATGCAATAGTTATCCGGTATAGTTCCGCAGAGATCTCATCAAAATTCTAAAAGAAAAAAAAGAAAATACGTCTTCGTTATAAAAAATATCATAAACCTTTAGATAATACAGTTATGAAATACTAAAAAAAAAGAAGTGAAAAATTATTATCTTTAAGTTATAATAACTACTGTAACGGAATCGAAAGCAGCATCTCACAAAACCCAAAATACTTTTGGACCAGTTTAAAAGATAAGCGTAAAAATAGAAGTAATACTTTGTCATCTATGTTTTTGGGAAAGCTGGAAGGAAACTGAGGATAATGTAAGGATTAGTGAATTGCTTGCAAAAAAATTCTCATCAATTTACCACAAAGCTACATTATTTACTAATGTGTACAACTGTAACATAAAAAATACTGAAGAGCAGCTGAATACCTGATACACATGTGTAGCTTGTTCCACTTTACAGGTTAAATTCTCTAAAACTAAATGAATTAGAAGTCTTTATCAAATTAAAAAGACTTGTTTTAAGCAAGGGACCAGGATCCGATGACATACCACCAGTTTTTGTTGTCAATTGTGCTAAACAACTATCACGCCCCCTTACCATAATATTTAATGAATGTCTAAAATCAGGTATCTTTCCGACACCTTGGAAAGAAACTAAAATTTTGCCAATTCATAAGGATGGCTCTAAGCCAGACATAAAAAATCCCTATTATGACGCAATCCATGAGGTAGGCATATGTTTAGCAGTAGACTTTAATCGGCTGTTACTTAAAATAGTTCGACTGGGTTTTCTTATGGCTGGTTCTTCCCAGGATAGAAGTTTTTTTCTGAACCACTGGTAAAAGCATAAGCGATATTGAATGAGTATCTAGAATACTCATATCTTATATCTATATTTAATAAAATTATTCTATTTTATTCGATACAGTAAGGATGACAAACGAGCACACAGTTCACCTGATATCGAGTGGATGGTGTGGCCCACAGACATCTACTTATTTGATTTTTTAACGTTATCACGTTCTTTGAACAACAAATACTCTGATGGTTAGTTTGATCGGCACAAATTTGATAATCGATTTTTTTATTATTTATATTTTTTCTTAAAAAATTACTGGCATTGTTATTAACATTTTGGCACCACTGCGGGTAAACTTGAAATACTTAAGTTGTTCACGTCAGTAGTCGAATGAATTCGAACTTACGATCTTTGAGTCCGCCCAGTAAACACGCTCCTGCCACTTTTTAAACTAACTTTCTGTCAATCAGGCCTAAGTTTAACAGTGAAATTTAGATGAGCTGTAATAAATGAATGAAAATATAATTATCAAAATTACTGCCCCGTTGGTTTAGTAGTTGTAGTAGTGCGACTGCCGATCATGAGATCTTGGGTTCGACCCGGGTCGGGCCAACAAATCAATTATTGAGTTTTTCCGTCAGGAAATTTTCAGTAGATGCCCCGGAGTCAGGGAGTTGGCAGTGTCTCACCCCCGTGCCTCGGAAAGCACGTAAAGCCGTTGGTCCTGCGCTTGATCTCTCTCCGGATTATGAGAGTGAGGCAATACAGATTGCACCTGTGCTTGCGCATACACTGGGGCACTATAATATTTTCCTGCTCAGATGGCTAGTCTCCGTTGAGTCTGGCCGCCGATAACGAAATTTGGTCTGGAGGATATTATAATTCGATAGGCACTGTTCTTTTCTTTTTTACCAGACTGCGCGATGCATAGGAGGGTAATGTGTTTATCAGCCTGTATATTTGTTCTTTTGTGGCGTATTAGAGATCAAACACGTGGACCGATTTTGATGATTCTTATATCAATCGATTTGCCTTAATATTTTTTCAAGAAAAAAAAAAATTAAAATCGACGAACTATGTCAGGTTCGGTATCAATGAATAGGTCTATCAAAATCATATTTAGGTTTCTCTAATCATGTTTTTATTTTGATTTGCCATTTAGGATCTATAACGATTTAAAGTTGGTTAACAACCATTCTCACTTTTCAAAACTTATAACATTATTTACTCTTTAGGTCTTATTGACGTGAAAAATAATTATTCACCTTTTAGTGAACTGTTTTATGCAGTCGGGCTGTTTTTTTTATTAATGTTTTAACAATTAAGCTTGATAATTTAAAAAAATAAATGATTGCCTTCTAGAAGGTGATACTCGTATCTCAAATGCATGGAATGATAAGTGCGCGGCTCTGACCTCAATCGAATGAAGTACACTTGGGACCATGCGGGTAACGAAGAAATTCCGTTGCTATAACATATCTGATTGAAGTATGCGTTAATGAATAATAACACAATATTCCAGGATCGGCTAACTGGGTATACTTACAATTCGCCAAATCACATCGATTCAATAAAGTCTATAACAGTCCACAGCTGGACATCAGCCTCTCTATAGATTGAATGATTTAGCCACAGTTGCCACAGTAGAGAGGCGGCAGCTGCTGGCGGGCTGGTGACTGCATTATTCTATAATTTTAAGTTGTTTTTGTAGGATAAGGGTGACAAACGAGCATACAGTCCACCTTAACCTCCCACTACCACCACCACATTTAACCTCGATTAAGAATCAAAATGCAGATGCGTTGTCATCCTTGAGGACTGAGATGGAATACTTCGATTCAAGTAAAACGTGTCTCCAGCTCTCTACACTCACGATACGAAACATAGCAGCATTAAGCTGCTATTTTGCGCTGGTATTCTGTGAGAGCGTGGTCCTCCCACGCTCGAGCTGACCCATTCATGCTACTACCATAATATAGCTGCAGCGTGGCTCTACCACGTAAAAATTAAAATTATCAGGAGGATACTGCTGCCTATTTCCTGGTTTGTTTTCCTTTGTCGTCTCTTACAGCTCGCAGGACGACAAAGGGCTATTGAATATTCTAACATCGCACTTTACGTTGAACCAAATCACCTAACATTAATAAATATTAACAAAATGTATTGAAATATTTATTTTTCCACAAAACACGATTTTTATTTCCTATGCAGTGAAGTTAATGCTTTTATTTTATTTCATGTATTCAACAACTAAAATAAAATAAAAACTGCGATTGCCAACTCGTTCGTGCGTATTCGTTATTTTGTTTCAACGAAATTCTTTTTTGACTTGATGTTTATTTGTTCACGTTTTTTATATGATAAGGGTGACAAACGAGCACACAGTATACCTGATGGTAAGTGATACTGTGACCCACAGATATATATCCCAGATTACGAATTTAAATGCAGATGCGTTGTCACTCGTGAGAATGATGATCAAGATGGAATAATTCGTTTCCTGTAAAAAGGGTCTCCAATTCTCTACATTCACCATACGACACAGCAGCGTAGAGCTGCTATTTTACGTTGGTACTCTATGAGAGCGTGTCCTTCCCCGGTGGAACCAACCCATTCGTGCTATAACTATACTACTAACATAATTGCATCATGATTCTACCGCGTATAACCACGTTCATATAATATAATTGATGGAGTGATGGTGGTTGGAGTAACAACATAATGAAACCTATAGGCCGTGCGTGCCAAACTTAAAGTCATTGGTGAATCAGTGGGCCGCAAAACCCAAATATTCAGACTAACACTCGTTGAATAGATAGTGGCGATAATGGTTTATTTCATATAATTTATTAGAAATTTTTTTTAAACCAGTAATAAATTAAATAAAAGAGTGACTTTCAATAAGTATAATTTATAATCTACTAGCGGCACGTCCTGGCTCTGCTCGTATGATTTCTGAATCTCGACAACAGCGCCACCTACCGGGTGCAATTGAGTTTTCAAACCATCCAGGGACCCACTCAAATACACACAAAAAAAACATCAATATCGGTCGAGCCATTTTCGAGGTATTGCGAGACAAACGGATAACAATTGATTTTTATATATTGAATAATAAAGTTTCTGTTTCATTAAATAATTAATTGTATTTTTCCAAAAACTTGATATCTTTTGTCCTTAACTAAATTATTCGCCAACAAACTGCCCTGCAGTTTGGCGAAAATTGTATAAAGAACAACCGACTGTATTTTTGTGTAAGTAAAAAGAAACCTTATTTAGCGGGTTACTCTATCTGCGAAAATTAGTTTTAAAACTGTATCCAAGTGTGCATCGTTCAGTTGCTATCTCGTGTGAGATTTGTTTCTTTTCATTAGGGAAAATTATTTTTTGACAAGTCTCAGTCGACGGATGCAGGTGGCTCAAGTCTTGGGTTGCCAGACGACTTTTATTTTAAAGGACATCCTCTATTTTACACACAAAATTGATCTTGTCCCCTAATTTAAAATCTTTAAAAGTGGACAAAGGCAATATTGCGCGTATTCGCCATTTTATCTGCTAGTTGAGGTCAAAGAGTTTAAAAATCAGGTTTAGGTGACCCACGATGTTAGAGAGGTAAATTATGTTACATTGCGTACATTTTTTAACTGATACCATAATTGTTTTTTATTAAAAATAATATGATGTTCTTTATTCCTTTTAATCTTGTAAAATCCTCTAAAACATAAAACTAAAACTGGTAACCCGGGATCGAACCTTATAGTAATCTATGGAGGAGCTCTATGTTCAGCAGTAGACCTG